TGGGGATGTAGAAGTCCAAATCGGTTTTACAGTGAAAACGGCAGGAATTTCAACCCGGCACTTGGAAACAGACTGAGAAACCAGAGAAAGTGTTTCACCTGCAACCCGTTCCATTTATGCTGGATGATCGAACGTCTCTTTACATGCTAAGCAATGAGAGATAACTGTGTGTGAAAGCCATCCTTCACCTAGCTTGAAGGGAACACAAATTTCTTTTCAGTTGCAAACTCCACTACATACATATATATGGGGAGGTACAAGCAACAACTCGGTTTTACAGTGAAAACTGAAGGAACTTCAAACCGGCAATAGGAAACAGTCTGAGAAACCAGAGTAATTGTTTCTCCTACAACCCGTTCCCATTGTGCTGGATGAACGAACTTCTCTCCACATGCTCAGTTCTGAGAGATAATTGTGTGTGAAAGCCGTCCTTTACCTAGCTTAAATGGAGCACAATGATTCTTTTCAGTTGCAAACTCCACTACATACATATATATGGGGAGGTACAAGCTCCAACTTGTTTTTACAGTGAAAACTGAAGGAACTTCAAACCGGCACTAAGAAACAGACTGAGAAACCTGAGTAAGTGTTTCTCCTGTCACCCGTTCCCTTTGTGCTGGATAACGAACCTCTCTCCACATGCTCAGTTCTGAGAGTTAATTGTGTGTGAAAGCCGTCCTTCAACTAGCTTTTTTGGAGCCCAACATTTCCTTTCAAATGCAAACCCAACTACATAGGTATATATGGGTATTTATAAGCTGCAACGTTGTGTTATAGTGAAAACTGCTTGAACATCAAACTGGCACTAGGAAACAGATTGAGCAACCAGAGTATTGTTTATCCTTCATCCGTTCCCTTTGTGCTAGATGACCGAACGTCTCTCCACATGCTCAGTTCTCAGAGATAAGTGTGTGTGGAAGCCGTCCTTCACCTAGCTTGTTGGGAACAGAGAGTTTCGTGTCAGTTGCAAAGTCCACTTCATACATATATACAGGTTGGTTCAAGCTCCAACGCGGTTTTATAGTGAAAACTGCTGGAACTTCAAACCCTCACTAGGAAACAGTCTGAGAAACCAGAGCAATTGTTTCACCTTCAACCCGTTCCCTTTGTGCAAGAAAAATGAACGTCTCTCTACATTCTTAATTTTTAGGGATATGTGTATGTGAGAGCCGTCCTTCACGTAGCTTGTGGGGAACACAAAGTTTCTTTTCAGTTTCAAACTCCACTGCATACATATGTATTGTGAGGTACAATCTCCAACTCGGTTTTATAGTGAAAGCTGCAGG